AAAAGAAAAGAAAAGAAAAGAAAAGAAAAGAAAAGAAAAGAAAAGAAAAGAAAGGAAAAAAGAAAAACCTACCAAAGAGGCACTTGACAATACAAAGTTCCTTTCCTCAAATTTATGCTCAGGCTGTCTTCCTTGTATAACCTGCTCTAAACTTTTTTTATTTCCATTCTCCATTCTACTTTATCATCCTAGACACAGTTTAAAGTAATTTTCTCACAGAACCCTTCCACCTCCTGGTATACACTTATATGACTGAAAGTTTCTGGTGTGTTTTTTAATTTTGTATTTTTTAAAGTCACCAAAGAACACCTTGAATTTCTGATCACGTTGCCTTTACTGATGGAGAGCTGTAATAACAGGTTTGCACCACCAAGATTAGCTTTATCACGTGATGAAAACGCTCATTTGATTTTTGTCAACTAGACACAAATGAGAATCATCTGGCAAGAGAGATCTTCAATTGAGAAAATGCTCCCAGAAGATTAGCCTGCAGGAAAATCTGCAGGCCACCACTGATTAATGATTGATGTGTGAAGGCTCATGCCAGTGTGGGCAGTACTATCCTCTGGCAAGTGGTCCTACCTTGTGAAATAAGCTAGCGCAGGCTAGTAAGCAGTTTCTGCCTCTGGGTCCTTTTTTTTTTTTTTTTTTTTTTTTTTTTTTTTCATTCGCTCCTGCCTTGGTTTTCCTCGGTGAGGAACTGGAAGTTGTAAGATGAAATAAACCCTTTCTTCATATTAGTTTGTCATGGCTTTTTCATCATATAATTGAAAGCAGGCTAGAGCATGGGGATCAAGCCTGCGGGTCTGTGCATAAGCAAGTACTGTATCAAATGAGAACACCCACAGCTCAGCTATATTTCTAGTGTGGCATTGTTTCCTTAAAGGTGCCTCAACAGGCTGATAGTGTATGTCGGTTTGAATATTTGTGTAGCATCTGATATTGTCTTAGTTAGGTTTCTATTGTGATAAAACACCACGACCAAAAGCAACTGCAGAGGAAAGGGTTCAGTTAGCTCATGCCTCAATATCTTCCACAGAGCATCATCAGAGGAAGACAGGACAGGAACCTGCATGCAGGGACCAAAAAAGAAGCTATGGAGTTCTTCTTACTGGCTTGCTTCCCATTGACTGCTCAGCCTCCTTTCTTATAGCACCCAGAACCACCAGCCCAGAAGTGGCCCTGGCCATAGGGTTCTGGGCTTTCCAGTATCAGTCAAAAATCAAGAAAACACTCCACAGGGTTTCTCACAGGCCAATATTGTGGAGGCATTTTCTCAATTTTAAAAAAGATTCTCTCTCTCTCTCTTTTTAAATGACTTCAGCTGGTGTAAAGTTGACATAAAACAAGCCAGCACAGTTACCCAGTCTATTTTCAGCCCCATATCCATGAAAAATTAGCTCTAACATGGTAGACATAGTCTGCTTTATCTGAAACTACGTGAAACATCAGCCATCTTTTCTTGTAATTGATAAAAGACATGAAACAGAAATCATCTGTTAAATGACTTGTGAGTACACAAAGAAGATTAAGAGAGAAAATAGCTTCTATATTTTATAGCTTTCTCTACTTTATGTAATACCTCACATAAAGCTTCATATACTTTTTATAGCTTATATACTTTTACCGGCATCACTTTAGAAATAACGGTCAGTACATGAGGCAGATGACACCATAAAGTTCAAGATCTTTATGTCCTGCATTGATTTCAAGTCTTTTAATCATTTCTCCAGAAGGAAATGTTACTGACAAAGCATATCATCTATAAAAGAAAATGCTCCGGGTAGCTCTTCAGCAAAGGTTGCCCTGTTACTGAACGAGTTCAATCTATGGTCAGAACACATTTCAAAGACTGAGGTGGATATTATTTAGTGTTCGCATTCTTCAATTGATTGTACATACAGTGTTCTGATGGTTTAACTCATGTGAGAATTAAAAAAAAAAACATGCCAAGCAAGAGTGCTTAAGAACTTCATCTTTTTCATTACAAATGTATGTTATTGTATGTAATAGTTTCAATTTTGTATTTTCAAAAATCAAATTCTGTCACCAAAGCTCTAGAGTGTTTTTTTTTTAATTTAAAAGCGTGCTATAGTCAAGGGCTTATAAGTAAGGAACAGTTTTTTAACATGAATAATTGCCTTTAAATTATGTGATTTGCTAATAGTTATGTGGCTGTGGAATTTGCTCCACTATAGGCTCATGACTGGAAGGTAAATCAAATGTGACCTCTACAAAATTAACTCTGCTCAAATTCTAGAGAAATAGAACTTTATTTTGTGACTTCATAATCAGGAAAAATAAAATATTTCATGTAAAAACCACGATGATATCTTTTTCCACTTTAAAACAGAAGTAAAAAGTCAAATCTCTACTAAGATTACTTAAATATTCATGGTCAAGAGCCCTGAAAATATGGCTTCAAGCCTTAGCAATTCCCATGTACAGGCAATTTGTGACTAAACTATTGTCTATGTTATCAGCAAATACACTGGTAAAAACTGCCCAATAATGAAAGCAGCTCCTTTGCTTTCCAGCCTTGTACACCAAAATAAACCAGGTAACACAGGAATTCCATCCATTTAGAGAATGGAGACTTTACCTATAAAAAACTTATATCATAGCTCTTTCTATGAAATATGCAACCCAGAAACACTAGCCCTTAAGATAGTGTTTATCTGAGACATCAAGCAGAAATTTTTGTTGTATTTGTAGATTATTCCTTGCTTAATAAATGTTTCAATGCTTCTGTAAAAGGAGGCATCCATAGGAACGCATGAATGCTTTATCATGGTTATTTAATACTTAGGTAATACAACTGAATTCATTTTACCAAGAACAAATGAATTATTGGCTGTTCACACCTAAAAGATAGTGTTGTATCTGTTTGTATGTGCGGGATTGTCCTAAAAAGAGATGAATCACTTGTACAATGGAGGCCAAGTATTAATATTCTGTCTAGACAATGGCACTTTCTTGATCTGAATAGTTGGCAGTTCTGAATTGCTGGTTCTAGCTAAGGCAGTGAGGCTTAAAGAAGATCCTTTCTGTTAGCACTATTTTATCTTACATTTCTTTTTGGTGGGAGAATTTAATTTAGTATACATTTCCCTAGCAAAGAATATGTTGTTCTATCTGCCTCTTCTCTGAGACCTGTAGATGTGAGGATGCGTTAATTTCCAAGCAACTTCTGGCAACGTAAAGGTAAAGGTTGCCTTTCTTGTTCATTGCATCATGTTTATAAAGAAACACCTGCAATTTCTAAGAAAACGGCCAAGCTGTTAGTGAAGTAGATATCTTTTAATTTACAAACATCAGTAGCATAACTGATATTAGTCTGCAGAAGACAAAGCATAACATGTACATCTAATTTTCATTGTTAAAAAGTGTTTTTTCTTTTGAAGAATCATCTGTATCTTCACAGGGGACCCCGGGATTTTAATGAAGAAAGAACACAGTCCACTATCAATCATTATCAACTCTACAATGTTATTGAGCAGCAAACATATTAACATGGGAGCAGTAAGGTAATAAAGGAGTTTTATTGTCTGGAGAAAAATCACAGTTTTGACATAACAGTCTTTCTTCTCCCACCCTTCCCCAAAGCATGGCAGGGAAATGTTTATTAATTAATTTGTAAAATGTCTACTTCTTACTGTCCATTGCTACAGATAATCCCTTCTTCCTGTGAGGACATGTGGCAGGCGAGTGCACTGCTGTTTCTACTCTCAGAGTTTGCAAACCCTCTGCAAGTGTCCTGAAGGAGGCCACAGTACAGTGATATCAGTGGTCAGATGTCGACGTCAGCCAACAGAACATATACCTATCCCAAGATAACAAAATAACATCCTATGTTAGTACTATGGCCCAAAAAAATCCTGATTTTTTTTTAAAGTTTGAAAATGTACAAAAATATCAGGACAATTATAAATTAATATATATTAAAGCATCAAGAAACAGTCCAAAGTGATGACCTAAATCGTTAAGTACAATGTACTTTAATACAATAAATATTCCTCATTGAAAATGAATACTGTATAGGGCTATTTAGAACTCATAGAAACAAAAATTCATATTATTACTAATTTTTTATTTATCAATAATCTATCGGTTCTTTATCATCTCCTTTATCATTTATATTACAAAAGTTTAATACTGGAAAGTGGTAGATAAACACCTTCGTGTGCTGTCTCTGCTGGTGTGCTGTCATTGCCAGCGACAATAAAATATATCGCAGCACTCCACACCCATTTCTCTCTGAATGAAACCCAGATATCAGGACACTTTATATCTTGCACAAAATATTTCTTATCCCTTGTATCTATCTACAGATTCTGGATTTCCGTTCACTTGCCTCATGGTCTCATTCACATACTTGTGCTCTCTCTGTCCTTGAGACCTGCACTGATGTGAAAGGGGTTTTATGCTATGGGCAATCACATGAGTGTACAGTCCCATGTCAGGCTCTTGTATATGTGCTTCTGCTAGTAACAGCATGTTCCAAACATGGCTCCATGTTGCAATGGTTGCCACCGCTGCACGAATGCCTCCGAGTGTGGCTTTTCTCCACACTTCTCCAGTGTAGGGGAAGCTTTAGTACAAGCGTGTCTTTTATTACTATTTTTTTCCAAATGCAGACAAGTCTTTTATTATCATAATAAAAATAAGTCTGTTCTGTATTTTACAATATATTTCAAATATTTCCATTATGAAGCATGAACTAGTCCAATGTGGTCAAGAAGCGGACAGCCTGCGCTGAAGATGGAAGCTTCTGGAGGTGTGTTTAGGAGGCACATCTTGTGCAGCCGCACTTCACCACCTTCTCAACCTCATCCACGAACGAGGAGCCATCTGTGCACTCGAAAGAGTATTTCCGCCTCTTGCTCCTCAGAGGTCCACAGCACTGCCCACCAGCACACCCGCCTCTACACTCCAAGCGAGACACTTTCTTTGTTGTTTGACAGGCAGCGTAACCCTGCTGCTTCTGGTAATAATCCCTTATTCGTTCCCCTCGACAAGAAATTTCTAGGAAAGAACAAGGAAATGAGAGCATTTTTAAAGGATAGACACTCCAAGTTCTGTAGAGCAACCCAAAGTCAAGCTCTCCATGCTTTTGTCGCTGTCCTGCCTTCCACTTTGTGACTGCTGTTTTTATTGAGATGCTTTGTGGTCCATATTCTGGACTGATGGCTTGACCCACTCCCCCTTGAAAAATGTATCTTTTAGATCCCTATTTCCAGCAAAGTGAATGCTATATATGTAGACAATAAATACAACATGTTTGTTCTGACAAGAAAATTGGATTCCTAAATCTTTTCCTTTATTGCAAAAAAGGAGAAATAATACCCATCTTCTGTTTTTTGGCAGGACTAACAGCTGGTTTTGTTTACCGCGGGGAGCAGTTTCAGAGAGAACGCAATTTAATTTATTAGACCTAGAATTTAATATTATCCAATATGTTACTTAATACAAGTAACATTCCACTAACTTCATAAATTACGCTAGCATGAAGTAGTTCAAAAAAGAGACATCTGTTAAAAGCTTCCGCAGGCACGTTCATTTTATTTGTCTGATGCACCAAAGTTGGTGCCAGCTGGAGGCCAGGCAAGTTCTGATCTTGGAAATGAAGGAGGGAGAAGTGGTCTGAAAACTCAGCCTGTTTCCATCTGTCTCACCTGCATAATTTACTGTGATAAATCAGTCCATTCTAAGGCGAAAGATGATTTGGTACTCAAACCATAACAGAGTGACACCTCCATAGTCTGTCTGTACCCAAAGCTACTTCAACAATACAATACATGTGGGTCAGGGGAACAGGAGCAGCTGAAGGTGAGTTGTGCCTCTGTGCTCTGAAGAAGATAATAGGAGACTTTCCACTGAAAATCAAGTTGTGATGAAATAGCCATGGAACATTTTTAGAGTGGGAGTTTAGTGCCGTTCACAGTAGGTACCTACATAACACTTGAAAAATCAACCAACAATAGCATCTACAAGCCACACAAAGCCCAAGAGTTTCCTCACTGTACCCTTCTATCTCTTTCACCAGGGATGAGGCAGCCCTTCTACTCTGTGAAGATGAGGAGTCGCCTAGCTTACCTCTGTCGCAGCTGTCCCCAGTGTAGCCAGTGCTGCACTCACAGTAGGGCTGCCCCAGTCCAGAGAGCCTGCACCTTCCATGCTTGCATTTGATCATCTGACAGGGGTTAAACAGATCTTCTTCTTCATCGCAGAGGACACCGCCATGGCCCTCCAGGCACTTACAGCTGTAGGAGAAGGCATTGATGGGCAAGCATGTGCCATGTACACATCTTCAGGAAGGAAGAAACAGAAGAGCGTCAACGTGGTTGATATAGTTGGTTAGAAGGTATCATGGTTAGGAAAAACAAAACAAAACAAAAAAAAAAAAAAACATGTCTCAATAGAGAGAAGAGAAAGCTAACGCATTGATTTGTCCCCACCCCACCCTGCCAAACTCCTACCTTCTTTTTTTAGATGATACTTTGAGAAATAAGCAAATGTATTCAGTACCAACTAACTGGAACTCACTTGTTTCCAAGGCAGGGGTCATTGGTTCGTTGGTCACAGAGAGGGCCCATCCATCCTTCCTCACATTCACAGGTGAAGCCTGATTGGCTGCTGGGCTGACACGTGCCGTGGGCACACACTTTCTTGTGGCATGGTTCACAGCCAGGGAGAATTCCAGTTTGCATGGGCACTTTACGGAAGTCCTGCAGCTCACTATTGATGTAAAGGTTCCGGATACAGCCATGGAAGCTGGTGCCGTTCTGACCAGGGGCCTGGCGCAGCGATGCCACGTTACTCTTCCCGGGCATGCCTAGGAGGAAACAGCATGTTAGTTGAGACACTGAACAGGGTCCTCAGGCATTTACAACTGAGAAATAGCAAGGTTCATCAGCCCCTCTCTATTAAATTGGGATATGTGCGTCCAGATGAGGAGGTAGAGAAGAGATGGGTATCTTGGTTCTCATTTTGGACAGATAAGAAGGTTACTCTAACTTCTAAATAAAAGAAAGAAACCTATTTTATCGGTGGCCATTTTTTAAATGATTTATTTTTTAATTTTATGTGCACTCGTGTTTTGCATGCATGCATGTCTGTGTGAGGGCATGAGATCCCCTGGAACTGGAGTCACAGACAGTTGTGAGCTGCCATGTCATTGCTGGGAATTGAACTCAGGTCCTCTAGAAGAACAGTCAGTGCTCTTAACCACAGAGCCATCTCTCCAGCCCTGGCGGTCAGTTTTTAATTTGTAAATTTGTTTCAAACAAAACTTCAATATATATGTAATATATATGAATATGTATAATCTTCAAGAAGGTCTACTCAGAGTAAAAACTAGACATCAACGTTATTGTTCCTTTTCTTATGTGTCGGTACCAGACACCATGCACACTGGGAAGCCACACTTTATAATTTTCTGATTAATTCTTCTCTAATTAAATCAAAGAATAGGGCCTAAAGCACTTGAGCCACGTGTTCCATATCACCCATGTAACATTTGGCTTTTTGCTCAACCTTCTTAATCATGGAACCCCAGGTCCAGTCTATCAAGACTCTGAGATGAGAGCTGGGATTCACAGTAACCCCTAACTTTGTCCCTGTCAAAGTCTGACTTCGCAACTAACCCAGCACCTTCAGGGCAAGATCTCACTTACTCAAGCATGCCTGTGCCTAAAATGCTCATTTTGCTTCTTATCAGGATAGCACCTCATTCACACCATGTTTTTTCTTGCTACTTCCAATGAAGCTTTCATGTAAAAAATTAAAAATACAGAATATGTTCCAATACAAGCATTATTTGCAATCTTGGGGCACATACATTCCAGAGGTGACTATCATCTGGTAACTGTTATTTTGTCAAGGCAAGGAATCTTTCCATGGTCTGATCCAGACCCTGAAATAGTTCCTTAACATCACTTTACACAGAGGTCCTGATGGGACACTGGGTGAGGAGAGGGCAGGGAGTTGGAAGCCTCTGAGCCAGTGACTTGCTCTCCTCCTACCCTACCCAGGGCTCATTTCCACTGCACTGGATCTCTGAGCTACTGCTTGGGGTTATAGGCTTGGCAGATGTCACTGGTGTGGGCTTCATCCTCCAGAGGACCATTGCAGTCTATTGTCCTTGCTCTGTGTCCCTTTTGAGGGCAAAGAGCCCCATTTATATCTTAACGGGCACGAAAATCAAGCATGTAGGTTTAAAAAAGCCACTAGTGTAGAGGTCGAGTCTCTAATATTGGTTGAGTGTGTCACGGTTAATCTTCATTTCCAAGTCGACATGATTTAGAATTACTATGTATCTGAGTTTCTTCCCAGTACTGTTGTGAAATACCCTGACAAAAGCCACTCAAGGAAGAAAGGGATATTTCAACTTTCAAATCAAGAGTGTAGTACATCATGACAGCAACATTAAGGCCACAGTGGTTTGAAGCAGTGGGTCACATCACATGCACAGCCAGAAAGAAAGAGGGAGGAGAGCTAGAACTCAACTCATTTTATCCGTGTTAGAGTCCTGGGTCCCAGGGAATGGTGCCACACTTATTAACATGGTCTTCCTCACCAATTAACTTAGCCGACATAGTTCCTCACACCCCTGCCCAAAGGCTAAATAATCCTTCACAGGCAAATACACTTAAGGATAGTTGCAGAAAGGTTTAACACCCGAAAGACATACTGTGAATGTGGGTGTTACAGTACCCTGGGCTTGGATCTTAGGCTAAGTATAAAGGAAAAAGACCACCAAGTGATTGCATTCATCTAGCTCTGCTTACAGACTCCTGTTTCGTGCCTTCATGCCTTCCCTGCTAAGACAGACTGTACTCTCAAATCGGCAGGTATAACCTGCCTTGTCACTTTCCTGCTCTCAGTTAATTGCCTCGTCTCTAGGTCAGGAAGACAGACCAGAGAAGTCGTTCATCAGCTTCTAATGCATAAGTCCTATTCAAAGTGGATGTTCAAAGAATGGCTTTTTGTCCCTCCCTACCCTGAGATGTCAATCTTACGTGGAGTGGGACAAGTGCAGAATTCTAAATGCTACCACGCAACACAGGTGTTTCTGATGCAAGAGGCTCATGGTCATACTAGAGCAGGTACTGCATTCTTTGTGCTTCGTTTTTAAAGTTCATTTAGGCATTTACTCAGCATATGTATGGCCATGGAGAATGTGTTACTACACCAAGATTAGAACACACAGTTGACCATTCCAGAGGAGTACTAGTGACAGGAAATTCTTTGTAAATCATGTTTATCCATCGCAAACGTGTGGACTTTAATGGCACTCATTATGGGTTATTTCTTGAAAATGTTAAAAATGAACTTCTTCCAAAACTATCTTAATAGCTCATTTTGGTGGAGATACAATGTTTACATGTGCTTAAGTCCAGACTAATTTAGATTGGCAAATTTCCTCAGCAGTGAGAAGCAACGGTGAACTTGTGTCGCTTAATTCCAAAGCTTACAACAACAGAGCTAAGTACTCAACTTTCAATAGCATCAAAATCAAGACCTTTGTAGATTACTTTTGGACCTTGGGAGTGACCCAAACACCCGCTCACAAACACACACATGTTCTACCCTGAATTACCTCTCTCACCAAGAATTATTCTAGGTTTTAATACATTTGTTCCAGAGTGCTAGCACTTAGCTGATAAACTGAAGCAGATCCATAATTTTTTCCTTTGACATAGTAATTTACGCTACAGCCAAGGGTGTCCTGGAACCATAAACACCGCTGCATCAGCCTGAGGGTACAGATTCACACTGCCTTAGCATACCTGGTAAACCACAATGTTGCTTTCTCTATGACTTTCTTGGATTTCATGGACTTTAGTTGGAAGTAAATTAATTCACCAATCACTCAGTAAATAACTTCGTAAAAGCATTAAAAAAAAAAAAAGCCTTCACGGCCTATGTTTCATAATGACTATAAGGGGTAGATATCATTGAACTCTTTTGTCCAAAGGAAACACTATTTTTGCATTAGATGCCTAGACGCCTATATCTGTGTCTTACTTCACCCGACAGTTAAGTAATAAGTATTCTGGTTGAATTGTTATATGGAAAAACATTGCAGTTCTTCTGGTTTATGTTACATAAAACAATATCATGAATAATAATGCAGGAGCACACTTAGCGCCAGTTTGCTTTTTTTTTTTTTTTTTTTTCCAGAGAATGCTTCTACAATAAACTAAGGCCCAGGATGTCTAGTACAGCCCTCCCTGGGGACAGCTCTGGTTTTAATTAGACTTGGCCTTGCTTCCCTTTTGTTGACTCAGCGATTCTTGCCTCTGCCATGTGTCAGTTGTGCTGTGGTCTTATGGGTTCCTTATATTACAAAATCTCAACCACCCCAGGAACCACAATGTTGAGAGGAAGGAGATGGGCTCAGTGTATTTTCTGGCAGTTAAGGCTGAGACCAAGATGATATCCTTTAGGCTTGAATATTCAGATGTGCTTCTGGATTCTTCCAAGACCTCAACCCTCAGAAGGATTAGCACTTTTTTTATTTGGGTGTTTAATGTTTGCCTCCTTAAGAAATGTTCTGTCTTAAACAATTCATCTGGGTTTTAAAACTGACTACTATATTCTAAAACAGTTTTAAAAGATTGAAATTTTGCAAATGAAAGCACCATAAATTCAAATCAAGGACAAGTTCAGAAGTACTGAAAAGCCACGTTACTTAAGCCATTTTGTTTTCTGAACTTTGTTGAAAAGTAAGTGGCAATGCAAGTAGCTTCGGAGTGAGAAAGACTGGGACTTAAATAAGTATCTACCACAATTTAGCTCTGCAAACGTGGAAAAGCTTTATAAATTTCTTGAGGCTGTTCCTCTGAGACTATGAAATAGAGAAAATAATGTTTACCTTCTAGTTTTACTTCAATTTTCTCTGAAGTTTAAAGGTTAAGCTTCTAAAAGCAGGGCCATATAAATAAAAACATTACTGAAAAAAGAAGCACTATATTAGTCATATTGAATGCTTAATAAACATAACTCATCACTCATCCCTTTTACATCGTCGCTAGCATTCAGGGCTGGCTATACATACCAAGGCAACTCTGTTAACTTGAGAAAACATCAAAATAGAAGCTTAAGCTAGAACCAGTCCCAGAATGGTGAGGGAAGGTGGTTCAATGTCCTACCTACAGCTTAGGAGCTATTGACAACAGTTAGCTACCAGGATAGGGAAATTTTTTTTAAGACTGATAATCCAGATAAATTAAGCAAGCTCTGGTAGAAGGCTATTTAAGAATTTAAGAATTATGGGGGAGAGGACCTAAAACCCCTGCTCAGATGTAGCCCATAGACTCAGTGTCCAAGTGGGTTCCCTAGTAAAGGGAACAGGGGCTGTCTCTGACATGAACTCAATGACTGGCTCTCTGATCACCTCCCCCTGGAGGGTACAGCCTTGCCAGGCCACAGAGGAAGACAATGCAGCCAGTCCTGATGAGACCTGATCGGCTAGGGTCAGAGGGAAGGAGAACCTCCCCTGTCAGTCGATTAGGGGAGGGGCATAGGAGAAGAGGGAAGGATGTAGGGATTGGGAGGAGAGGAGGGAAGGGGGCCACAGCCTATATACAATTGAATAAATTGTAGTAAAAAATATAAATAAAATTAAAAAAAAGAGTTATGGGCAGCAAGACTGTTGTTTTGCTTGTTTTATTTTTGTTGTTTTTCAAAAAGGACACAGAAGAAAACAACAAACAAACAAGAGCCACAGAAAAGAACCAAGGGTGGGTGGGTGGGATCTGGGTGGCCTGGGGAGTGAGGGTGCTAGGTGTACCTGATGTGAAATTCCCCAACAAACAATAAAAATATCATGGAAAAAAGGACACAGATTTAGGTAGCTAGGAAAGAGTGATGAATTCCGATGGAGAAGAGGGGGAAATGCAACAAAATCAAAACACATTGTGCAAGAATTTTCAAAGAACTAATTGAAAAAAGTCTCATAATACTCATTAATACTCATAGTTGTGATTCCCATGAAGCAATGAGGTGAGACGGTTTGCTGAGTATAGTCAATCTGTAAAAACTTAATTGTAATGACACATGAGTGATTTGGAGATGTGCCTGCTTGTTTCATGGTCGCTGGGACCAGAAGGTACATTTATTTTTCAGCTTGTGACACTAGTCATTAACTAGCTTTGTTCCCAGGATATAGTAGATGTCCTATAAGTATTGCTAGAATTGAATCTAAGCATTTTAAACAGCATCAACATTCTATGATCTTTTTAACTATTGGAATTATTAAAAATGGCAATATTCTGGAGTCAGGGAACAATGACAAGCAATACTTTCATAGAAAGTTTGGAAGGATAAAGAAAATTGAATAGCATCCTGAAGTCAGTCTTTTGTAGAAGCTAAGAACTCAATGACAGACAATACTGTTCTTGATTGGGAAATGAGATATGTTGTCTTATTTAGAGCCAGGAGTTATCTGTTAAATATGTTACTTTTATCAACTCGTTAATAATTTCATTTGCGACATTTCAATTCCGTATCATTTGTGTTATTGTCTTCTTCCTGAGTTTTTTAATTATGATTCCAATTTACATTTTTCCTTCCAGACAATGGTAAGAATTCCATTCTTTTAAAGTTTTCTCCCCTGGACTCCCCCTTCCTTTCTCTTTCCAATATAATTCTTATTGCTTAAAACAAGACTTGGAGTTATACTGTAACATTCCTAACTTGCCCAGGTTTTCTCTTGTTCCTTCACTATAAGGCCCTCTAAGCAAATACACTTCCTATCAGTCTGGTACAATCTGTAAATCTGAGTTTCATTGACAATTGTCAGATCATTTGTATGAACCCCAAGAAATATCAGCATGGCAATATTGAGCTGAGCCGATATGAACTGCCTCCTTAAGTGTACTGGGTTGGAGACTTCTTCTCCCTACTTAGCACCAAACTTATTTAATCATTTTGTGTATGTGTGCGTGTGGGGGTGAATGTGTGTGCATGCATACACATGTGCATGTCTGTGAGCGGTGGCTAGAAAACAACTTCCGGTGTCTTTCTGAGGATATCTGCACTTTTTCCCATTGTCTTAGATCTCACAGGGTAGGCAAGGTAGGCAAGCAAATCCCTAGGGCTCAGAGACTGCAGGGATCTGCTTGGGAACTTCCTCAGCACTGAGATGGTAGTATACCATGATGCCTGGTATTTTATGTGGATTCCGGGTATTTTAGCTCAGGCCATTGAGCACTTTATAGACCGAGCAGTCTTCCAATTTCTATTTTTATCATTTTCCAACTTGATCTCTAACCATTTTTCTGCTTCTGTGGGCAGATATAAAATTAATGACACTGTATATAAATTACTTAGCTAGCATGTCATAGATCAATAACTAATACCCCTTTCTGACCTGATGACACACTGAGTTAAACACAGAACCAGGACGACCAAATGGTCCCTTAACAGACACATCCACCTCTTTCTGTTTTATGCTTATTAGTCAATTCCAGTGACAAATAAGTGTCAAAGATCATGGTACCAGGGACCAATAACTTCAGATCTAATCTAGCAGGATAAGCACAGAGTTGGAAGACCTCTAGATTTGGAAGGGAATTCACCTCCTACATAGAGTGGGGAGTCAAAATTGAGGGTAGATTGTTTTGACAAGTTGGTGATGATTTTAGGGCTTCCTCCATCCACAGAAAGGGAGAGACTGGAATCCAGAGTCAGTAACTCCACGATGTGGAAGTTTCCATCATTGATTGTCTCCACACTGCAATGGAAGGGGGGAGAAAAAAGAAGCAACTTGAAACATAGTAAAAATACAAACTCTGAGAAACCCAGCTTCAGAGAAGATATTCGTAGCAGATATTAAGGAAACTGGCTTTTAAAGATACAATTAATTTCTCAGGATCTGGACACAAAATAAATCTGTTCTCCCACTGAGAGAAATGGAGAAGAACACTCATTACCCAGCCACACTGATTCCATTTATGCAAATCACAAGTGATAACTTTACTTTTGGAGGATGTAAAAGTTCTATTTATCGAGAGATAGTCTACAACTCCAAGTGGTATTAAAAAGAAGCCTTCACCTCCTCTGGAGACTACAGCATTGCTGGCATCTACAGTATGAGTCAGCGCGTTAGCACCCATCAGAGTTAAGTTTGCAGACGAATACAAGAACCAACTTGATAGGGTCTCTGTACTTTCTCAAATTTGATAAATATGTTTTCAATTTCATGTTTAATTTTGGAGAAAGGCCACTTGAACCATATTATCATGAAGAAATCTTTGTTCAGTTGAGAGCTGGGATTAATAGATTGAATAAAGTGTTTAACATAGAGAAGTAATCAAGGAGTAGGCAACCAAGTTCATGTCTGAGACTGTCTCTTCTCCCTTGCTAGGGAACCCACATGGAGACTGAGCTGTCTATGGGCTACATCTGAGCAGGGAGTCTACAACCTCTCTAGGCATTGTCTTTGGCTGATGCCATCAGTTTCTGTACTCCTATCTGAATCAGTGAGCTACATACAGTTCAGTGAGGGATTCAGAGCGCCACGGAGGACGATACTTGGCTTTACCGTGTAGCTAACATAAACACAGACACAGTTATATGAGCACAGACTTGCAAACACCATAGATCTCTCTCTCTCTCTCTCTCTCTCTCTCTCTCTCTCTCACACACACACACACACACACACACACACAGAGAAATTAAAGTAAAAATTAGTTAGATGTGGCAAATACTGTTCTTTCTCCACCTTTAATTACCTCAACATTGAGCAATATTAAAATCAGAAAGGAGATAATTTACTGCCTAAATAAGGTTTTACTGTGCTATTACGTTTACAAATGAGTTTCTTCCACCATGCATTTATGACACAGGATACAGAGGATCTAAGGCCTATGGATTCCAGCAACAACCAGCATGCCACTATTATCCTGAAAGTGCCATAGTGCCGTAAGTATTGTGGTGGTAACCAACAGATCTCTAGTTGTTTGTAAGATCCTCCCCACAGAGGGAAATAATGCCTGGTACTGGAAACCTAGCAAACTACCCAGGACTAGTGGCATCATGGATCCAAGAGGAGACTCTACAACCTCCACTTGCCTATACTAGGATAATAATCCCTGACTACATTATAAATATGTATCCTTATATCTTTAGAGAAATGTAACTTTTACCTCTTTTTTTATTAATTACACTTTATTCATTTGTATCTCCCCTGTGGTTCCCTCCCTCCTCCCGCCCCATTCCTTCCCTTCCTCCACCCTCTGCATGCATGCCCCTCCCCACGTCCACTGATAGGGGAGGTCTTCTTTGCCTTCCTTCTGATCCTCGTCAATTAGGTCTCATCAGGAGTGGCTGCATTGTCTTCTTCTGTGGCCTGGTAATGCTGCTTACCCCTCAGAGGGAGGTGATCAAAGAGCCGGCCAATCAGTTCACGTCAGAGACAGTCTCTGTTCCTAGTACAATGGAACCCACTTGGATACTGAACTGTGTCCTCCCTCTTGATTAGTTTCTTTAGGTGTACAGATTTTAATAGGTTTATCCTATATTATATGTCTATATGAGTCAGTATGTACTGTGTGTGTCTTTCTGCTTCTGGGATAGCTCACTCAGGATAATCTTTTCCAGATCCCACCATTTACCTGAAAATTTCATGATTTCCTTGTTTTTTATTGCTGAGTAATATTCCATTGTGTAGATAAAGAACTCAAGAAGTTAAACAGCAACAAAACAAGTAATCCAATTAAAAAATGGAGTACAGGGCTAAACAGAGAATTCCCAAGAGAGGACTATCGAATGGCAGAAAACACTTAAAGAAATGTTCAAAGTCCTTAGTCATAAGGGAAATGCAAATCAAAACAACCCTAAAACTTCACCTTACACCCATCAGAATGGCTACAATCAAAAATTCAAGTGACAACACATGCTGGAGAGGTTGTGGGGAAAGGAGAACCCTCCTTCACTGCTGGTGGGAATGTAAACTTGTACAACCACTCTGGAAATCAATCTGGCGCTTCCTCAGACAACTAGGAATAGCGCTTCCTCAAGATCCAGCTATATCACTCCTAGGCATATATCTAAAAGAGGCTCAAGTACACAACAAGGACATTTGCTCAAACATGTGTGTAGCAGCCTTGTTTGTAATAGCCAGAAGCTGGAAACAGCCTAGATGCCCCTCAGTTGAAGAATGGATAACTTTTACCTCTTATCAAATAAATTTCTCTTTTCAACAGATAGGCATTACGAAAAATGAGAATTTATCAAAATTCAAAGAACATGTCATGTTGTCATGCTAAGCAACAACTGATTCATCTGCAACATTTTACCTAAGACTGTGAGAACAGGAGCCAGAGGAGGGGCCAGAGAAAGTGTAAATCAGAGGAACAGTATGCGACTATTGTTTTTTAAATGATAGAAAAGTTACACTCATGAAATCTAAACAACATGGTGTCTCGATGGACCATGACTGGAGCAAGGACTATATCAATAGACATGCTAATATGGAAAGGGAAAAATTTCTTATATTTATAGCTGTGAGCCCAGGGTCCCTAGTAAAGGGAACAGGCACTGTCTCAGACATGAACTCAGTGGCTGGCTCTTTGACTGCCTCCCCCTTATCTGGGAGTAGCCTTGCCAGGCCACAGGGAAGAACAATGCAGCCAGTCCTGATGAGACCTGATAGGCTAGGGTTAGATGGAAGGGGATGAGAACCTCCCTTATCCATGGACTTGGAGAGAGGCATAGGAGATGAGGAAGGGAGGGTGGGATTGGGAGGGGAGGAAAGAGGGGGCTACAGCTGGGATACAAAGTGAATAAACTGTAATTAATATAGAAAATAAAAATTTAATTAAAAAATCTCACATGGCCATACCCAAATACCCCAATAAAAATAACTGCAGGCAACTAAAGATTGAAAAATAACCTTCCCCAGGGAAGACCTTCACAACTGTTTATCCAATATCAAGTGGTCAGCCTGGAATCATATATATATATATATACATATATGAAACATTTTCCACACTAAGTATACATTAGTAGTTATACATTTATGAATGAAAAAAAAATATGTCAGCAATTAAAGAAATAGAGGCCATGAATTTGGAAAAGCAAGGAACTACAACATGGAAAGGATTTAGGTAGGAATGGGAAGGGAGGGAATGATGTAATTATGTTTTATTAAACATTTTTAGGAACTGTTTGATTTTATGTATATGATTGTTTTTCCTACATGTCAATCTTGGCATGAAACTGTTCTTAGTGCATGCAGAGGTCAGAAGAAAGCACTGAATCCCCTAGAACTGGAAATTTTGGTAATTATATTTTAATTTCAAGCAATAAAAAATAATTAAGAAAATGACCCTATTTCAAACAAAAATGCTGAATTTTAATTTTAGCACTTGGTTAAAGTGGAATAAATTTAAATTTGAGTTCTGCTTCTGTAGTTATTAAATGTTAGATGAATTATTTTATAAAATCTTCCACAAGTTACTTTATGAAAATACACTCTGGTTCTCCCTGGTGAGTGCTGTAAATATTCTCGCCTCTCATAGTTAATTCTATGTCAAGATAAAATAACTTTACAAGCATGTGTAGCGTAACCCAGACAAATATCAGATATTAGCATCATTATCACATTCAGCAGCAAAAACATGCAAACAAACTAGTTTCAAATCTTATTTTTTTTTTAAATTTAGCTAATTTTATGATGTCAATTGCAAGACAATGCTAAAAGGCCAACAACAACAAAAAATATCATCTTTGAGGTACATCTTATTCAGGCTACCAAAAGTTATCCAACTGAATTACTAAAATAGAGATGAACATAACAAAATCAGTGAGCATATGCAGCAAAGGTCATAGCCAACTGATGCTTCCCCTGAGGTCACACACAACTTGAGGTTGTTTTCTACAGATGCTCTACAAACACTAGCCTTAATTAGATTATAAATATTAATACAGAAGCACTTTTATGTTCTCTTTAAAATTGCAAAGAAAAGGCCACATATACTGAGGAACAGGCTCTTGGTCACATATTGATTTTAGACAATCAATCCAGACATGTCATTGCTAATGATAGTGTTTGGTGCAGTAAAATTGAGTGGCTCAAGACTTTTAACTTTTTATGCTCCTTAATGCAGTCTTCCAGCTGCGAAGCATGAGATTAGGTCATTTCATCAGCAACTCACTTCTCCATGATTTTCTTTTTTTTGTTCCTTATTCTATTTGTTTTTGAGTTTTACATCTTTAATGCAAAATAAATTGTAAGTTACTTTAAAGTAAGGATCATATATTATTTATTTCTGTATACGTTCAAGTGGTCACATGAATATATAATAAATTGAAAATGCTCAATAAGCAGAAGTTATGTAAACATAAGTGAGATAGATTAAAGGTAACAGGAATTGTTAGTTACAGCCCTAGGTGATGGTTATAACTGGTAGGCTTCAGGCATATTTAGAGATGACTTATCAAAGATACATTTTATTGAGGAGCCTGGAATGTTCAGGGACAGCATTAAGAATAATGCCTATAGGTATAGCTTGCTTCACTTTTCCTATTTCTAAAATGAAACACTTGGACTAGAGTAGGTGTGACCAGTTCTTCTTTAGAGAGATATTAATAATAAGGGCAATAATTGACACTTAGAATGAGCGAATTACTGCTTACAAACATTATGTACATTCTTATAGTTTTCTTAAGACTCATAAGAGCCGAACATCTTGTTGCCAAAGTTGACACAGCTAGCTGGCAGCCAGACAG